TCAGACTGGTTTCTTGAACATGACAATGAGTTCACTGTACTCAAATGGCCTCCACAGTCACCAGATCTAAATCCAATAGAGCATCTTTGGGATGTGGTGGAACGGGAGATTCGCATCATGGATGTGCAGCCGACAAATCTGCGGCAACTGTGTGATGCCATCATGTCAATATAGACCACACTCCCTGAGGAATGCTTCCAGCACCTTGTTGAATCTATGCCACGAAGATTTGAGGCAGTTCTGAAGGCAAAAGGGGGTCCAACCCGTTACTAGCATGGGGTACCTAATAAAGTGGCCGGTGAGTGTAGATGATCTAAAGCAAGCAGATGTGTAACAGTGGTCATTGGTAACATTCAAATCAATCAGTAAAAGGAACACTGAATGAGACAAGATTTAAATGATGTGAGAATGATGGAGGAAGAGATAACCACCTGTTTAATGTTTATTTATTAGGTTGTTGTTACTTGTAGCTCAAAATATTGTGATAATGATCCTTTTTGCTATTTAGTCATGTGAGATAGGGAGACATTATATGTGTTTGAAAGGGGTTTTGATTGTATTATGTCTCTGTTTTTGTCATGATTTTATCCAAAGATCTGACCCACATGTAGAAAACTAAACAGAGAGACCAGGGGAAGGTTTAACAGGTTTATTATGAACTGGTAGAGAAGGGTCCAGTGCTGCTCTGAACACTGGCGAACCGGGACTGAAAAGTGAAGGGGAAGATCCTGTGGTTAGTTCAGGCTCAGAGGGAAATTTGTGTTTCGATTGTAAAAGGGAATAAAGGCAACAGGACTCATGTTTCTTTGAATCCAGTCGTTGTGGGTTGTTCCAGTAATTGACTTGCTCGTCGGAGGGCGGACAGGGTTTACCCAGGTTGAGGTGTTTCCTTGAGGAACGGAGGAGCTGACTACCACTTAGATTTCCTGCGGTACTTGAACGGTTTCTTGTGGAGATTAATCCCTGCTCAGTGTGAAGCCCAAACAATCCTTGAGGAAAAGTTGATCCAAACCTCATGTTTGAATCCTCAGCTCAGCTTGATGCTCAGACAATCCTTTCTGGGGGAGAAGGTCCAAAAAAAATCCAGTTTGCAGGATGACTTCCTGCCGAGAGGCAAAGACAAAAAAACAACAAGGTAAAGACTCAGGTGACAAAAAAACTCAGTTTGACTCAGGAAAACTCAGCTTGGCTAGAGTACCCAAAACTGGCAAACAGTCTGGCTTCAAGGTAGTGGCAGTCAGCAGCTTAAGAGTCCTCTGGTAATGAGGCAACCATCCGCAGGTATGTGAGAAGGCCAATGAAGAACCATGCGCCACCTGGTGGTGGAAGGAAAAC